TAAATTCAGCGTGTGCTAAGAAAAGAAAAACGACGCCTCCCACTGGCACTTTACACTATTCCACCGCTGGTACCATTAAAATATCCGACTGTCAAAAATTGTAATCAAATAATTTCAGCCTAATTCGTTGCAGGATCCATAACTAACCTATTCCTGTAACTAGATTTCTATAAATAACTTCCATCCTAGAATAGTTATTGATGATGGAGGGCGTAGCGCCTAATTTGCTTTAATTATTCACAACCCTAAATCAAAACAATGAGCTCAGATTCCCAAAATAATTTCCCCCCCGAAGGCGGAGACCACAGCGTACAAGCCCCCCCCCCCCCCCCCCCCCCCCCAAAAAAATATAAAGAAATTTCAATTCGTTTTCATTTTCCTATTTGTTTTTTCTTCTCTTCCACCCCGCACCCTCCCCTCCCCCAGTCCGCCCATGATCAATATCTTTACCTTGCGAAACGAATCTCCTTCTTATAATCTTATTGGCATTGTTTTTATTTGATAGAATCGGTCAATACAGCTAAACAGTGTTGGAATATGTAAACTCGATTTCGGAATTCGCCTGATTGTAATAAGATTGACCTTATTGATTCTACCGATATCCCGATGTCAAAGTATCAACAGACGGTTGCATTTTCCGCGTGATTAGGGGTGAGGACGTGTGGGGGGGGGGGGGGGGGGGGGGGGCAAGTCCCAAATGGTCACCGGCATCAATCATCAATTCGTTAACGATCCAAGCGACAAGTAGCAATTTGTGTCAAGTCTCTGCGCTTTCTGGAGTCGGCACGTGGGTTACCTATTAACGATAGATTATCTTTTGTTCGCTGGTCAGCAGAGTGAGGTTGTGCTCCGTGGGTGGCCTTGATCAGTATTTACAGCGGCACTTAACGTTCTTATGCTATTTTGTTGTTCACTTCATTTCTTGTTGTTTATCAATATAATGATTTTTTTCCACTAAACAAAGTTCTTCCAAACTTTGCTAAGGTATGTAGATTATATATATAAATAAAAAATGAGGCATATATATATATATATATATATATATATATATATATATATATATATATATATATATATATAATACCTGTATAAGATACGTCAAGTAAGCATTAGAGTCATTTAGTGTGCACTTTAATATTTTGTAGGCCCCCTATACTGCCCTATAGGCTTAAAATCTCTCAGCACCTACTTTTCACCATTTATATTGTTTTAGATTTGTTTACGCATGTATTTTCACTTAAAAAATTTGATATACTGTTTATAAAGATCTACCATTGCCCTCTTTTTCAACATTTATATTGTTTTAGATTTTAAAATTTTTTTTAAAGTATTTTTACTTATAAAATGTTATATACTGTTTATAGTTATTCATCTGAATATATTCATGTGGTATGAATATTTAAAAAAAAAACATTACCTCCATAGAACTAAGCTTATTTCTAAAGTGTATTGGCTAAATCAATGCAAACCATAATTCAATACATCCTAATTTAAAAGATCAATACGTGTCTAGAACGAGAAATTAAAGAAACAAAAGGGGAAGAAAATATGTGCCTGATGGCACTGGGATCATTGTTCTAGACGTCTCGATCGCCTGGGGTCAACCTCACCACCAGGCACTTAGTTCTATGCAGGTAAGGTTACCTAGAGCCGTAAGGTAAGGTTACCTAGAGCTATACAGGTAACGTTACCTAGAGCCGTACAGGTAAGGTTACCTTACAGCCATACAGATGAAACTTTAAGCAAACACATCTGATTGGCTAGTGTTGGAGGTGCTCAAGTTTCTCCACAACAAAAGATGTTTTAAGTCTGGGGATTGTGTTATTTTTGGAAGAGGGGAGTAAGCTACTATTGACGCAGTAGAATTAGTTGGTTGCATGAATGCTCATAAGTTGGTACAGTTTTGGTGAAGTACTGGTCATGGTTGGGTCCAGTAAAGGTGAAGAATTGGTCAAAGATTGGTAGTTTTGATACAGAATTGGTCAAGGATTGGTAAAGTTTTTGTAAAGATATGGTCAAGGATTGGTAAAATTGTGGTGATATTTAGTCAAGGGTTGGTAAAGTTTTGGTTATTTTCAGTTTTTTTTAAACAGCGTAATTATGCCATCCAATTAAAAAGACTAGATGATTGTTTGATTAACTGTATATTTATCAAAGAGTGGATGATCAAAGCTGGCGTCTGAAGTAAAGACTAACAGTGAAATATCTGCACACACAATCAAACACAAACAACCACTTTTTTTGTTCTCTATGAAAACAATCGTTCAACATGATAGCCGGTAGGTGGCTGTTGTAGTGCTGATGGTATGTGGTTGTTGTAGTTCTGATGGTATGTGGTGTGTCACCGGCTTTTAATCCGTCGAATAGATACAAATTGTGATGTGGTTTTATTGCTATGTTTTTTTTCTGACTATCTTCTATGCCATCGAATAGATGCAAAAATTGATCAAGTTTGTGTCGACACCGGCTTTTAAGCCATCAAATCGACACAAACTGATGTTTTAAAACTGTTTACAAAAATAATTTCTGTCCTCAACTTTACTAGACGACCTAACGATGTTTAACCTGATTAGTTGAAATTAGCTTACCCAACAACAATGGAGGTGTAGTTAAATAGTAGGCTACGTCCCTCCCCTCCACCGCCCCTCTTTCTATTCAGCTCATGATGATAAAACTCCCCACTCCCCAACGCCCCCACACACCCCACCCCTCTACTCCCATTGAACTCAAAAAGCACGAGCGTTTAAAAACCTTTCATTCCATTGTTCCCTAGCATCGCTGGCCGTTACGTGCCCGGTGGCTAGTACTCACACTCTGCACGTGTAAACCAACTCCAGCACCAGGCAAAAGCTGTAGTTCAGTGACGTCAAGTTGGCGTTGGTTACCTAACGTGATGGTACAATCAAATAAGGCTGATAGACACAGACACACTTTGGTGTCTTTCTACTGGCTCAAAAGTAGAAAGAAGTCGACATATTTAAAGTGCAATCTTTTGTTGAAAATGTTGGAACTTGACACATCTTAACACCCATGTTACATGATGTACTGTGAAAACATAATTAGGTAATGAATATGGGGAGGGTGTTGTGAAGGGTGTTGTGGCGAGGTGTTGTGATGTGTGTTGTGGTAGGTGTTGTGGTAGGTGTTGTCGTCGGTGCTTGAATTATGAAACATGACAAATGGCCCTACAGTTCCGTATTGTAAGTAGAAAATGAAATCCTGATGTCTGTTAGCCTAACGATGTACGATCACATGCCTTTTTTTGTCCTGACAGAGAGATAAACTGTAAATATTTTTCTTCACACAGATACAAGCAATTCTCATTTCCGCACAATAGTAACCAAACTTTCTCATATTCTCCCAATAATATTTGACATATTATCCACATACATACCGGCATTTCTCATATTTTCACAATACATTTCTTAATTTCTTCTAATACATTTCTCATATTCTCCCAATACATTTCTCATATTCTTCCAACACATTTCTCATATTCTCCCAATACATTTTTCATATTCTCCCAATACATTTTTCATATTCTCCCAATACATTTCTCATATTCTCCCAATACATCTCTCATATTCTCCCAATACATTTCTTATATTCTCCCAATACATTTCTCATATTCTCCCAATACATTTTTCATATTCTCCCAATACATTTTTCATATTCTCCCAATACATTTCTCATATTCTCCCAATACATTTCTCATATTCTCCCAATACATCTCTCATATTCTCCCAATACATGTTTCGTACTATTCCAATACGTACCGGCATTTCGATATTCTCTAACGTGCTAAATATCACGGACACAGTTGGTCACTCAATGAGAAGACAATTCAACACATACACATTGTTCATGTTATTAACTAAGGCAAGCTAGTGTTAAATTACAAACGTGTCAAAGAGTGACCGATTGTGGGGGTGGGGCGGCGAAAGGGTGGGGTGGAATTAGGGGTGGGGCGGATTAAGGGTGGGACGGAGTAGTAGTGGGTTGGAATAAGAGGTGGGGTGGAGTAGGGGTTAGGACAACACCAAACGTTAATTATACGCTAGGTTTTGTCCTGAATACATGAAGTTCTGTAGGTCAGTAGCTCGCATACTGTGGCTTGGTTTATGTAGTGTGTTTGGGGAGGGGGTGGGCGGTGGATGGAATAGAATATAATAAAAGACACAAATCATATTGGTAAATTAAGTTGCAGGCCTACACGTATGTGATTGTTTGTGACATACAGAAGGTTGGAACAATAAACAATTCTACAGATTCATTTGTCATTTTTTTTTCTTTCGTTATTTTGACATTCACCAAGTAGGCCCCTAATCACAATACTTTAATATTTCTATTGAATAGAGAACGGAGTTACAGTAAAAAAAATTCTACTGAATCGAGACCGGAGTTACAGTAAAAAAAAATTCTATTGAATAGAGAACGGAGTTACAGTAAAAATATTTCTATTGAATCAAGAACGGAGTTACTGTAAAAATATTTCTATTTAATAGAGAACGGAGTTACAGTAAAAATATTTCTATTGAATAGAGAACGGAGTTACAGTAAAAATATTTCTATTGAATAGAGAACGGAGTTACAGTAAAAATATTTCTGTTGAATAGAGAACGGAATTACAGTAAAAATATTTCTATTGAATAGAGAACGGAGTTAAAGTAAAAATATTTCTATTGAATAGAGAACGGAGTTACAGTAAAAATATTTCTATTGAATAGAGAACGGAGTTACAGTAAAAATATTTCGATTGAATAGAGAACGGAGTTACAGTAAAACTATTTCTATTGAATAGAGAACGGAGTTACAGTAAAAAATATTTATTGAATAGAGAACGGAGTTACAGTAAAAATATTTCTATTGAATAGAGAGCGGAGTTACAGTAAAAATATTTCTATTGAATAGAGAACGGAGTTACAGTAACGTAGTTGGAAGTCTGGGTCACGAGTCTGACCGTGTATGAACCAGATAAAAACACGGCCACAGTTACATTACACACTAGGGGAGATAACGCCACCATCTTCTGGCACATCGACAAGATGGCCGTCCACAGAGCCGTCAGATTGCACGGCAAACAAGATTTACGTCTGGTCAGTATGTTTTGTCCAGGTCATTTGATGTCATTCGTTTTTATTTTACCGCTCTATGTCTATGTACTTCTAGTTTGGTTTTTGTTTGTTTGGTAGTCTGTCAATGTATATTTGTATATCAAACAAAGCGATACAAACGATTGTTCTAGTAACCCAGCAAATGTAGAACGGTTGATATTGGTGTTAAAGCTCTGAAAATTTTATCCAACAGGAAACTGTGCCGGTGCCAGAACCCGATGAAAATTGTGAGTCGTTTAAATTCTGTATGATCAGGTTTTTTAATGTCTGGCCTAGTGACAGAGATACCTCAAGATATCTTTTGTATCTGTTGTGGTACTCTAGACTCTTTCATTAATGATATAGCATACACAAGACATACCACCCACACTGTGGGGCACACTACCCACATAATGGGATGGACCGCCCACATTATGGGACATACTACTCACATTATGGGATGTACCGTCCACATTATGGGACGTACCGCCCACATTATGGGACGTACCGCCCACATTATGGGACGTACCGCCCACATTATGGGATGTACCGCCCACATTATGGGACGTAACGCCCACATTATGGGACGTACCGCCCACATTATGGGACGTACCGCCCACATTATGGGACGTACCGCCCACATTATGGGATGTACCGCCCACATTATGGGATGTACCGCCCACACCATGAGACATACAACTGTCCTGATTTTCTCTCTCTGAAAATGTAACCAAACCTTACTGTCAAGATAAGCCGTTCAGGGTTGCCTTATTAGGAAGGGCTTGGTTGGGTGGTAGAGATTACCACTGCTTACTCGAAAGTCGTTGGTTCAGATCCCGGACTCAAATGAGTCTGTGACATATGATGGAGAAAGTCAAGGTCGAATGGGCATAGTGCTAACCACACTTTCCCTTGAAATGCTGAGATCACAGAAATAAGTAAACTCTACTTCGTCTGCCCCATGAACCCGTCACAAAATACCCACAGGTCTATTTTTAAACTGGTCAAATCCCGAAAATGTAGTCTGAGTCAATTTAAAAGAAAAAAAAAACAACTTCCACGGCAAACAATTGTATCCCTACCCCCTCATCCCCCTTCAATCCCACCCTCCAATGATTGAGTCAACACCGAAGGTCAACATTTCAGATGTCCTGCTGGAAATGTCCACTGTCGGCCTTTGCCGAACTGATGTCCATCTCTTTGATGAAGGTCAACTTGACCACATCGTCATTAAGGAACCAATCACATTGGGTCACGAAACCAGCGGCACAGTCAGCAAGTTAGGCCCGGGGGTCACCAGTTTAGCCGTGGGTCAGTATGTACTTGTCTTTAAATCATTGTAACTACCAGCTGCGTGCTTTATAAAGTGTTAAATTTCAACATTTAATTCAACAAAAACAAAAACTAGGCAGAAATGTAGATCAACATTTTGGGATTTAAAATGTATACGTATTCTAGCGTACCTTTTTATACATATTAGAAGCTGGTTTAGCGTTCATAGAAGACTATATCTAACAGATGTTAAAACAATCTCTACCCCCCCCCCCTCTTGTCTTGTGTGTCCAGGAGACCGTGTGGCCGTTGACCCGTGCCGGACGTGCGTCACGTGCCGCTACTGCCGTGGGGGGCGTGGTAACCTGTGTGAGAACATGCGTGAGGCGGGGGTCATGCAGGTGGACGGGGGGTTCGCCACATTCATGACGGCCCCAGCCGACAGGTGCTACAGGTAAGAGGGGGGGGTCAGGGGTGTGGAGGGGTGGGTGGGGTAGGTGGGGAGGTGATGGAGGACAGGGCCAGTCGACAGGTGCTACAGGTAAGGGGAGTCAGGGGTGTGGTCTGGTGGTGGGGTAGGTGGGGAGGTGATGGAGGACAGGGCCAGTCGACAGGTGCTACAGGTAAGGGGAGTCAGGGGTGTGGTCTGGTGGTGGGGTGGGTAGGGAGGTGATGGGGACAGGGCCAGTTGAAAGGTTCTACAGGTAAGGGGGGTGAGGGGTGTAGCCTGGTGGTGGGGAGGTGATGGGAGACAGGCCTACCACACGAGCCGACATTTAAGAGAAAGTTTTTTCCACCTAACTTTTACATGAGTCAATTTAAAACAAAAAAAAAACATTTAATTTTTATTTGCACTAATATTTCATTAACATTTATAATTTTCATCTTGGAAAAGCCCAAAAAACCCCCATACCCATTTTTAAGCTCAATTTTTAGCTCTGTTAGCCTTAAGAGTGTGAGCGAGAGTATGTGTGTATGTATGTGTGTGTGAGAGAGAAACCCTGGTTGGTATACAGGGATGGGGGAGACTGCTAGATGCTATAATCTTACAGGAATTTAAATTTTGAGAGGACTCTAGACGCCTCTTCTGGTGAGTAAGAAAACATGGCTATCCCCTCTCTCTACCCCCCCCCCATCTATCTCTCTCTCTCTCTCTCACATACACACACACGCTCACACACACGCTCACACGCACACACACCTGAACATGGAAAGAAACATCGTAACGCTAGCTGACTGACTGGTGAAGATCTCAAATCTTTTATTCCTGCAAGTTTCACGGTCGAGTTCCTATCGTGATGGTCTGGCTCAGACCGTTTTCTTACCATCTCAAGTCAGTATTCATCTTGTATTGTTAAAGATTAAAAAAAAAAATAAATTGCTCGACCGGTAGGGAAAAAATTTACAACCGTAATAAAACCTGACAAAAGCACAATTACAATGGACAAGGAGAAGTTATGTAGTAATCGATGATCATCGTAGGATCATTTTAAAATCAACGTTCAATGAAAACAATAAAACGCGCAATGATTAATTGAGTGATCTGAGTAGGCCCGTAACTCAAGTTTTGTGTTACACTCCAGTAAGGCCTGTCCGCTGCCCCTTACCTAATACTTAAGTAAGTTATAATACCGTTACCCAGTAACTAAGTAAGTTATAATACCGTTATTGACAAATGAAGTTCTTTATGTGCCCGCTGTTTTCCGGTACAGTAAGTCAACTTTAATAAACTGACATGTGAGGTCATTCAAATACTCGTGATTGACTTAAGTCTTCAGTCATGTAACTTGTATTGACTGCTAAGACAAGTCACATACTCATTTTTTGACAGAATAATATACTAGTGAAATTATTCACGAATTAATATTACAAAAGACTGTTAAGTATGTTTTATATTTCACTATTTCTTTAATAAAATTGCCATTGTGCGCATTTCTTTTCACAACAGTCAAAGGGAAATAACCCTATTTATTCTTGTTTACAATTGTAGACTGCCGGAGAACGTGAGTCTTGAAGAAGGAGCTCTGATAGAACCTCTGTCTGTGGCTGTCTACGGTGTCAAGCGGGCTCGTATGGTGCCTGGTGATGCCGTCGTGGTTTTTGGAGCAGGTGATGAGTTGGGTTTTTTAGGAGGCGAGGTGTATTTTTTTTTTTAGGAGGCGAGGTGTTTTTTTTTTTAGGAGGCGAGGTGTATTTTTTTTTAGGAGGCGAGGTGTTTTTTTTTTTTTAGGAGGCGAGGTGTATTTTTTTTTTAGGAGGCGAGGTTTATTTTTTTTTTAGGAGGCGAGGTGTATTTTTTTTTAGGAGGGGAGGTGTTTTTTTAGGGGAGGTGTTTTTTTAGGAGGGGTGGTGGTTTATTTTAGGAGGGGAGGTGTAATTTTTAGGATGGGTGGTGGTTTGTTGTATAGATCTACCCCCATGACAAAACTGTATACATTGTTAGCAGTATGAAATAGGTGTGGTTGGGTCGGTTAAGCTCATGGCTGCTGAACCGAAAAGTCCCCAGTTTGAACTTCCCCCAAAAGGCTATGAAAGCAAATCTAGAAAGAAAAACCGTCTGAACTTGGAGTCAGTTGCCTGTATGAAACGTAATACTTGTGTTGTGGGGAGAATCCCGACCAACACTAGAATTAAGAACGAGGTAGAAGTTAGCAGTATATCAGGTCAACTCTACTTCACTAGCCCCATGGTCTGTTACTTAACTACTTACTTATAACTTAACTATACCCTCCAGCCAGAGCAGTAAAGATATCCTTAAACATATCCTTATCTCCAGGTCCCATAGGTCTGTTCACCATGCAGAGTGCTAAAGCCTACGGTGCTGGGCGTGTGTTGATGGTCGGTGAGTGGATTTATATCTTGACCATTGGACGGTTATTTCTGGACTATTGGGCGGTTATTTCTGGACCATTGGACGGCCGTTTCTGGACCATTGGACGGCTATTTGATCACTTAGACGTGTGACCAGTGCGTCAGTTGGTGTGACACTCCCAGAGACCTTGCATGGCCTCACCTAACTTCAAAAACGTTTTGTGTATCCTGTGGGGGAGAGGGAGGGGGGATCTTTGGTTACCAATAGCGCAATTTGTTTTTAATGTCTAATTTCCAGTGTACTCATTATGGTTGCTTGTTAATTTCAAGATAGTTTCTTAAAAGTATGTATATTTCCTTATTAAAACCCAGTTTTGGTCAGTGTTAGTTACCTTGTGAAAACTAGTTTTATTTAGTACAGGGTGTTTGTGTTACCTAGTGAAGTTTTATTCCGTATGTTTGTGTGCAGTGTTTCTTCCAGACTTTTTTCTCCGGGGGGGGGGGGGGGGGGGCACTTGATATTTTCGAGTCCGGGGAGGGAGGGTGGACACCAGTAAAATTGTATGTTTACTATATAAATTCCCTAATTCCCTCTCGATCGGGGGGCGGTAGACTTTCTTCGTGGGGCGGGGGGGGGGGAGGGGGGGGGGGGGAGGGCGGCGGAGTTTTTTTCCGTACGTTTGTGTGTTACCTTGTCAAGACTAGTTTTATTCCGTACGTGTGTGTGTTACCTTGTCAAGACTAGTTTTATTCCGTACGTTTGTGTGTTACCTTGTGAAAAATGGTTTTATTCCGTACGTTTTTGTGTTACCTTGTGAAGACCAGATTTCCGTTTACCGACAGACATCAATGAAACTCGCCTGGTTCTGGCGTCCAAGCTTGGCGCTGACGTCACACTAAAGCCACGTTCACCAATGTCCGACCCCCAGGCACTGGGTGAGGAGTTGAAGTCTGCTCTAGGGGGCGCTGCTGACGTCTGCTTTGAGTGTAGTGGAGGGAAGGGAACGGTGGATGCAGCTATTCATGTAATCAGCACGTTTTAAATCTTGTTGTTATGTAGCCAACTTGTATATGTTTACATATACGTATACCTATAGACCTTTGTTCACTTTGATATTTATGTACATACAACTGTCATTATATTTGACCATCGGCTAGATTGTCATTTGTTTAGTTATGTCTTAACTGCTTTAATGTTTTTCTATTTGACCTTTGACCCCCACCCCCACCCACCCCAGACTTGCAGACCCGGGGGTAAAGTCCTGATGCTGGGGTTTGGTGAGATGGCCATGCACGTGCACCTGGGGATGGCGGCCTTCAGGGAGATAGACGTCCTGGGGGCTTTTGCCAGCATCGGCAGGTATGTTACAGGTAGTGGTAGCTTTTTGGTAGCATAGACAGGTATGTCACAGGTAGTGGTAGCTTTTTGGTAGCATCGACAGGTATGTCACAGGTAGTGGTAGCTTTTTGGTAGCATCGACAGGTATGTCACAGGTAGTGGTAGCTTTTTGGTAGCATCGACAGGTATGTCACAGGTAGTGGTAGCTTTTTGGTAGCATTGACAGGTATGTCACAGGTAATGGTAGCTTTTTGGTAGCATCGACAGGTATGTCACAGGTAATGGTAGCTTTTTGGTAGCATCGACAGGTATGTCACAGGTAGTGGTAGCTTTTTGGTAGCATTGACAGGAATGTCACAGGTAATGGTAGCTTTTTGGTAGCATAGACAGGTATGTCACAGGTAGTGGTAGCTTTTTGGTAGCATTGACAGGAATGTCACAGGTAATGGTAGCTTTTTGCTAGCATCGACAGGTATGTCACAGGTTGTGGTAGCTTTTTGGTAGCATTGACAGGTATGTCACAGGTAGTGGTAGCTTTTTGGTAACATTGACAGGTATGTCAGAGGTGGTGGTAGCTTTTTGGTAGCATTGACAGGTATGTCACAGGTAGTGGTAGCTTTTTGGTAGCATTGACAGGTATGTTACAGGTAGTGGTAGCTTTTTGGTAGCATTGACAGGTATGTCACAGGTAGTGGTAGCTTTTTGCTAGCATTGACAGGTATGTCACAGGTAGTGGTAGCGACACTTGACATTTTGACACTGACATCAACCATTGACATTTTGTCATTTTACCATAACATTGTAACACTGACATTTTGAGTTAGATATTTATCAACATACTAGTAGCATTTTCTCTAAACTAAAAAGTGTGCAAATATAAATGTTTGGGTAGGATTGGTGAAATGATCAACAATTACACCTGTAGTCTTCTGATTGACATATCTATTCAATAGCTTTCATTGTCAAACTCGTGAACTATTTGAACTCTACAATTAGGGTTGTCTTCATCTGATACTGAAGTATATGGCTGTTATTACTCAGTTAAGTTGCTTTAGTATGTTACAATGTGATGCTGTATCATAAAATAGCCAGACTAATGTTTAACCGTGTCCAGTTTCCCAGAGTGTGTTGAACTAGTGTCCAGTCTAATGTTTGACCGTGTCCAGTTTCCCAGAGTGTGTTGAACTAGTGTCCAGTCTAATGTTTGACCAGTTTCCCAGAGTGTGTTGAACTAGTGTCCAGTCTAATGTATGACCGTGTCCAGTTTCCCAGAATGTGTTGAACTAGTGTCCAGTCTAATGTATGACCGTGTCCAGTTTCCCAGAGTGTGTTGAACTAGTGTCCAGTCTAATGTTTAACCGTGTCCAGTTTCCCAGAGTGTGTTGAACTAGTGTCCAGTGGAAAAGTGGATGTCAAGTCTGTCATCTCACATCGGCTGCCATTAGACAAGGTCAAGGTCGGAATGGACCTGATAAGACGAGGAGAATCAATCAAAGTTGTCATCAACTGTCAGGCATAGGAAGATGTCATCAAATGTCATGTGCTTACATCTATGTAAGTTTGGGTGATCTTTAGTCTTTAGATGTCATGTGTACATCTATGTAAGATTGGTTGATCTTTAGTCTTAAGATGTCATGTGCTTACATCTATGTAAGATTGGGTGATCTTTAGTCTTCAGATGTCATGTGCTTACATCTATGTAAGATTGGGTGATCTTTAGTCTTCAGATGTCATGTGCTTACATCTATGTAAGATTGTGTGATCTTTAGTCTTTAGATGACATGTGCTTACATCTATGTAAGATTGGGTGATCTTTAGTCTTCAGATTCATGTGCTTACATCTATGTAAGATTGAGTGATCTTTAGTCTTTAGATGACATGTGCTTACATCTATGTAAGATTGGGTGATCTTTAGTCTTCAGATGTCATGTGCTTACATCTATGTAAGATTGGGTGATCTTTAGTCTTCAGATGTCATGTGCTTACATCTATGTAAGATTGGGTGATCTTTAGTCTTCAGATGTCATGTACTTACATCTATGTAAGATTGGGTGATCTTTAGTCTTCAGATGACATGTGCTTACATCTATGTAAGATTGGGTGATCTTTAGTCTTTAGATGTCATGTGCTTACATCTATGTAAGATTGGGTGATCTTTAGTCTTCAGATGTCATGTGCTTACATCTATGTAAGATTGAGTGATCTTTAGTCTTTAGATGACATGTGCTTACATCTATGTAAGATTGGCTAATCCTCAGATATCATATGCATACCACATCTCTATAAGATTGGCTAGTTTCTAAATGTCTCTATAATTAAAAAGTATACAAATTCATAAAATGTAAATTGATTTTTAAAGCAATGTTACCAAGTGCCTTAAAAACAATACACAATGATAAATCTACCAAATTTCTTCACATTTCTTGTGTTACTTATGTTTTCTGTCGTCTTTATTCACTGTGTATAAAATTGTTTACAGCAGTACTGCTTACAAGCGATCATGAATGAAATAATTGTATTTTTCCGATGTGTGTTAATTCAAATTACATTTTGAACTTTTGAACATGCCTCAATTTATGTCCTGTTATGATGTGTTTTGAAATATGTGATGAGCAAGTATATTCAGATGTGTCGGCATGGTTGAACGCAAGAGTATAGGACTGATAACCAGAAAGCCTCGAGTTCGAATCTGGGTTCAAATCAGTACAATGTCCCTAAGATACTCAGCTCTGATGGTTACCTGAATCTTGTTAGCACCAGCAAAGACAACTAGATATACTGCTGACCACACTATCCCTTCATAGTTCATATGCCGAGGTCACATAAACAGGTAACTTACCCCGTGGACCGTCAGGTTCAAAAGGGAAGTTTATTTACTTTAACATGCATTCATTCAGACTTACATAATTGGTGGATTTCAACTAAAAAGAGACACCACTAATTTCAATCTAGAATGTGTAGAACTTCAGGGACAATTAAAGTACTCAACAACTGCCAGACAAGAAGATAAACAAGGCCATTCCCTGATCTCAAGAGATTACCAAAGATCTATTTACTATCACAATAGGCAGATTTGGCTAAAAATAATTTTCAAGACATTTTTCAACCAACTAGCTAGAAAAATCTGTTTTTTTTTTTTATAAAAAATATTATAAAAATTTAAAATGAAAGAAACAAAACAGAAATGTAAATTGAAATATTCACATAATTTAATTTCTGAAAATTAATTATTGTGCATGTGAGTCAGACATTATATGGCAATTTACAACCATAGCTCTGTAAATAATTCCATTCAAGGAAGAGTTCCAGAGCTGAAAACATGTTTATCTAAATATTAATAACATTAACATCCACAATTAAATAAGAAGAAAATATTTTAAATACTAATAACACATGAATACACATTTGATGCATAAACTGCTTTGTCATTTTAAAACACGTTGAAAGTAAAATTCAAGTAAAATTTTACTTTCTAACAAACATTTACATAAGAGGATAATCTGAAAAGATATTTTTTTGTTTCACTGTTTATTTTATATTACACAATTTACAAACAAAATTTGTTCCATTTCTTTTTAATCATATTCATAGTGCATTGTACAAGTTACAGTGGTTTCTAATTTTTAGATGATCAGTTAAAAAATTATACTTTTTTTTTAGCTCTGTCAATCTTTACTTTAAATCTACGCACAGAACTTAATAAAAAATTACCTCTGAATAATTACTGTTTAGTAAAAATACTAAATAAAGCAAACATCTTTAATTATTTACCATACATAGTTTTTTTTTCAGGAAATTATTTTTCTGAGATAAACAATTTCATCAAATTAGTCATCTCTATGGGCTATTATAAACTATGTACAAGTCAATTTGAAATGATCTTTTTGGAACAACGCAGTTAAAAAAAATCATAACATCTAGTATTTACAATCATATGCAGCCACTAGCGTTCTGTTACAGCATTTACAATGATGTCATTCATCTTGGTGTTAAGCAAATAGCAGTTTAAAAACAAACAATTAGCAGTCTAAAAACAAGCGTGGTTTAACAGCCCAGGATAACCTTTTATACTTTAAAAAATATAACTTTTACAAATGTACATATCATACTGTAAATGAAATATATATAACATTTTCAAAGTCAAATGATAATGAGATAGTTAGCGTGGAATTAAAAATTAATGAATATCTTTAAAAACATTTTCTAACACATTTTATTTATTGCACACACGTTGTCTAATTTTGAGGAAACTCTACCCACTTTAATGCCTTGTGTGTTAGACAATTTATGCATTGAAAACCAAATCTGTTTCATAATGAGCATTTGTACTGAGTATATTATGAATATCATATGGTGAAGTCAGTTGTATAGCTACGTGTCCTGCATGGCATTTAGGAGATGTTATTTTGGAAACAATAACTTCAGCTAGAGATGGCATAATTGTTACACACCAATATAGCAGGTCTTATTTTAACACTTGCTAATGAGATAAGTCTCATGAGGGAATACCAAGTTTTTTTTTTTAAATTTAGATACAAAAGATACACAACATATAAAAGAAGTTTCCCAATGACAACTAGAAATTATGACATTTGACTTGTTAAATGGTATGTGCATATTCTAAAAATTAAAAAGTTTACAATCAGACCTAAACATTGTACTTCCTTAATTTGTAGTAAAGTTTCTAGTGGAATACCATAAGTTTTCAATGACTACAATTTGTAGTAAAGTTTCTAGTGGAATACCATAAGTTTTCAATGACTACAATTTGTAGTAAAGTTTCTAGTGGAATACCATAAGATTTCAATGACTACAATTTGTAGTAAAGTTTCTAGTGGAATACCATAAAATTTCAATGACTACAATTTGTAGTAAAGTTTCTAGTGGAATACCATAAGTTTTCAATGACTACAATTTGTAGTAAAGTTTCTAGTGGAATACCATAAGATTTCAATGACTACAATTTGTAGTAAAGTTTCTAGTGGAATACCATAGTTTCTAGTGGAATACCATAAGCTTTCAATGACTACAATTGGTAGTAAAGTTTCTAGTGGAATACCATAAGATTTCAATGACTACAATTGGTAGTAAAGTTTCTAGTGGAATACCATAAGATTTCAATGATAACAATTGGTAGTAAAGTTTCTAGTGGAATACCATCAGATTTCAATGACAACAATTGGTAGTTAAGTTTCTAGTGGAATACCATAAGATTTCAATGACTACAATTTGTAGTAAAGTTTCTAGTGGAATACCATAAGTTTTCAATGACTACAATTTGTAGTAAAGTTTCTAGTGGAATACCATAAGTTTTCAATGACTACAATTTGTAGTAAAGTTTCTAGTGGAATACCATAAGTTTTCAATGACTACAATTTGTAGTAAAGTTTCTAGTGGAATACCATAAGAATTCAATGACTACAATTTGTAGTAAAGTTTCTAGTGGAATACCATAAGTTTTCAATGACTACAATTTGTAGTAAAGTTTCTAGTGGAATACCATAAGTTTTCAATGACTACAATTTGTAGTAAAGTTTCTAGTGGAATACCATAAGAATTCAATGACTACAATTTGTAGTAAAGTTTCTAGTGGAATACCATAAGTTTTCAATGACTACAATTTGTAGTAAAGTTTCTAGTGGAATACCATAAGTTTTCAATGACTACAATTTGTAGTAAAGTTTCTAGTGGAATACCATAAGATTTCAATGACTACAATTTGTAGTAAAGTTTCTAGTGGAATACCATAAGCTTTCAATGACTACAATTGGTAGTAAAGTTTCTAGTGGAATACCATAAGATTTCAATGACTACAATTGGTAGTAAAGTTTCTAGTGGAATACCATAAGATTTCAATGATAACAATTGGTAGTAAAGTTTCTAGTGGAATACCATCAGATTTCAATGACAACAATTGGTAGTTAAGTTTCTAGTGGAATACCATAAGATTTCAATGACTACAATTTGTAGTAAAGTTTCTAGTGGAATACCATAAGTTTTCAATGACTACAATTTGTAGTAAAGTTTCTAGTGGAATACCATAAGATTTCAATGACTACAATTGGTAGTAAAGTTTCTAGTGGAATACCATAAGTTTTCAATGACTACAATTTGTAGTAAAGTTTCTAGTGGAATACCATAAGATTTCAATGACTACAATTTGTAGTAAAGTTTCTAGTGGAATACCATAAGTTTTCAATGAAAACAATTAGTAGTAAAGTTTCTAGTGGAATACCATAAGTTTTCAATGACTACAATTGGTAGTAAAGTTTCTAGTGGAATACCATAAGATTTCAATGACTACAATTTGTAGTAAAGTTTCTAGTGGAATACCATAAGTTTTCAATGACTACAATTTGTAGTAAAGTTTCTAGTGGAATACCATAAGATTTCAATGACTACAATTTGTAGTAAAGTTTCTAGTGGAATACCATAAGAATTCAATGACTACAATTTGTAGTAAAGTTTCTAGTGGAATACCATAAGTTTTCAATGACTACAATTTGTAGTAAAGTTTCTAGTGGAATACCATAAGTTTTCAATGACTACAATTTGTAGTAAAGTTTCTAGTGGAATACCATAAGAATTCAATGACTACAATTTGTAGTAAAGTTTCTAGTGGAATACCATAAGTTTTCAATGACTACAATTTGTAGTAAAGTTTCTAGTGGAATACCATAAGTTTTCAATGACTACAATTTGTAGTAAAGTTTCTAGTGGAATACCATAAGAATTCAATGACTACAATTTGTAGTAAAGTTTCTAGTGGAATACCATAAGTTTTCAATGACTACAATTTGTAGTAAAGTTTCTAGTGGAATACCATAAGATTTCAATGACTACAATTTGTAGTAAAGTTTCTAGTGGAATACCATAAGAATTCAATGACTACAATTTGTAGTAAAGTTTCTAGTGGAATACCATAAGTTTTCAATGACTACAATTTGTAGTAAAGTTTCTAGTGGAATACCATAAGTTTTCAATGACTACAATTTGTAGTAAAGTTTCTAGTGGAATACCATAAGAATTCAATGACTACAATTTGTAGTAAAGTTTCTAGTGGAATACCATAAGTTTTCAATGACTACAATTTGTAGTAAAGTTTCTAGTGGAATACCATAAGTTTTCAATGACTACAATTTGTAGTAAAGTTTCTAGTGGAATACCATAAGAATTCAATGACTACAATTTGTAGTAAAGTTTCTAGTGGAATACCATAAGTTTTCAATGACTACAATTTGTAGTAAAGTTTCTAGTGGAATACCATAAGATTTCAATGATAACAATTGGTAGTAAAGTTTCTAGTGGAATACCATAAGATTTCAATGATAACAATTTGATTGTCTTTGACATGATATATTTGTATAGAGATAAAGAAAAATTGAGAAAGTAAACCATGACCTACACATGTCTACACAAGTACCTTGAAATGGTGCATATTTTCTATGTGAAGTTATAAATGCCATTTTAAATAGTTGTTTCAAATGTCTAGAATTAGCTTCATTAACTGCAGAACATTTTTTAATAATCAAGAAGTTAACTTGTATTGAAATGTTTGAATCTATTATCGTAAGATTTATTTTACTGTTTTTAAACTAATATATTTCCAAACGAACAGTGCTCATTTAAACACTGCTTGAAATGCAGTTCATATCACAAAGTCATGACAAGTCTATAATGAAGCCAGCTATGGAACTTGTTTTATATCTTTTGTTTCATTATGATCTTGACAAGTCAGGCAACATTTAGCCTTCATGTGCTGTTTGTTGCACAGTCCAATCTTCTTGACCACCTGGCAAAGATGTGAATTTTTTTCTTTGAATACACAGGAGACAGTCAATGCTGGAGCAAAAGGAAGGCAAAAGTTAGCACAATAAACAACGGCGAATATTTTTAAAAAATTATCCACTTTAGTGTGCATAACTAACAAATTCCTAAACACCAAAAACTACCTCCATTTCAGCAACCCCAAAAAAAAAAATTTTATAAACTCAATTTTTAGTTAACTTAAAAAAAAATCTTAGTTTACTTTAATATAACTAAAGCACCTAACTAAAACACCTACAAACACAAAAAATAATAAGTTTTTTTTAATAAATAACAGCTGCATCTACATACCCAAACACTAATTAGTTTTTTTATAATAAAAGTATTTGCTTACATAAATAATAATTTTCATTGCTGTTTTTGATCACCACTTGATCATAGAGATCTGTACAAGCCCTTGAGATCCCCACAACTCTAGAGATCCCCACACAGCCACTGAAATCCCCACAAAAAGATCCCCACAAAGAGATCCCCACAAAGAGACCCCCACAAAGAGATCCCCACAAAGATATCCCCACAAAGAGACCCCCACAAAGAGACCCCCACAAAGAGATCCCCACAACGATATCCCCACAAAGAGACCCCCGCAGGTATGACCATCCTTACCTGCATTGTCCTCAGGTGGACAGTCATGCATGTTACAGTTCTGTGTGGCTACTGGCTTTGTGGCGCCATCACAGTCTTTGGCCAGTTGCTGGGAGGACAAGTTGACACACTCGACTGACCTCTCCTGCTGGGCGCCCCCACATGTTTTGCTACACTGTGACAGAAGAAAATCATTAGACTTCATGAGTGGGGCTTTCTTCTTCCATACAACACATAACCTACACATCACCTCCTATGTCTAATGTTTTAACTAGCCTAAGTGGGAACAAATGTATGCTTAAGTGTCCTGATCTTTAGTTAGATAACATCAGCTATCTTTATTGTTTATAGATTTAATTCAACATTAGACATATTTAATGCAAACATTTTTTTCTCTATAGGATTAATTAATGCAAGATTAAAAATACATTTAATAATGAATATTTTATCAAAAAATGTAATATATTTAATGCAAATTTTTTTTTTCTCTATTGGATTAATTAATGCAAGATAAAAATACATTTAATAATGAATATTTTATAAAAAAAATGTAAACTCTAGCTCACTTAACTGCACTGAACATTAAGCCAGGGTTAATTTTAATTCCAATTTACCTAGCTCTTATTTTTAATCCAGGTGAAATTTGAACTCCACCTAACCTAGCTCCAGTTACAGTTAATCCAAGCAACAATTTTCTTAACTCAACTTACCTGGCTCCAACTACCATTAATCCAGGCCAAACAAGCAGGTAAGTTTTCACATGGTTGGGTAGTCTCAGGTCTCCGAGAGAGGTCACACTGACCTGGGGTGGGACACTCGACCTTTCGTGACCTGTTTGCGTGACCACAGGTGGCTGAACACTGAAAAATATTTTTTAACAACTTGAACTGACATCTGTCACTCAGGGGCGGAACTACAGTACCGCCAGACCCCGCAATGCGGGGGGGCCCGGGCCATTTAGGGGCCCACAGCCGACCATAATCAATTTATTTTTTTAGTTTAAAAAAATCTTGATACATTTTTGACTTTATGGTTGTTTTGTAAAAAGAATACTGTAGCTGCGGTTTCATTAT